TCTGAGAATAACGTTAAGTCCCAGGTTTTCATTTAATAAAGTTAATGCTCCTTATCAGACATTCCAAATACATTAAGAGTTCCATCAGCATCGATAAAAGAAAAAGCAATTAAATTTACGGAGCATATGTTGTATACTGTGAAGTTGGACAAGGATTGAGTGGTTTATAAACCATAACATGGTCTTGATACCCAGAAATTATGAGTGGAATACGCGATTATCCTTTTATATTCTGGAACACTTCCAATTCAGGTAAGCCAGAAAAAAGAGTTTATATTATTTGTGAAGTTTGTGAAGAACGCTCGAAGATTTTTTTTCATTGAGAGACTGAGTCGTGTTACAAAGGTTCATCCAAGAAAAATTATGAAATCTACAAGACAAACTTCATTCTCAGTTTCTCACTTCTTGCTGTTTTAGAAGGTTTGATGATCAGTGCGTAATTTTATTGGCAAGAGCTGCAACACGTAATAGTGGGTTCAAAATCATGCTTGCCGCGTACCAGAATATGAAATTTTCGTCGGCTCTTCTTATCACTGCGTGCTATCAAAAGGGGGCGTGGCCGATCCAGAAGTGCTTATATAGTGAAAAATTCGATTAGAAAAACGTTCGTGGCATTCAACATGACAACTGACTTCAACAACAATGTTATATTATGTAACAATCTAAATCTTGCTGAACCGCCCTATCAGAAACAGGTCGCTGTGCCTCACTTGCAATTGGAGTTGCTAGCAGTTGATCATTTAGAACCACCAACCACCATTGAACGATCCCTGTCAAAAATGTGTACGGTATGTTTTTACCATAAATTCCTTCTCTACAACACTTCATCACTTTTTCCTAAACTCATAGCTACAGTTATTTTAGGAGGTTGAATCCAATTGGGGACCAAGCAATAACGTCTGTAGTAATTCCGATAATGATTTTGTCGACTTTGGTGACGATCAGGGCGATCAATCCAACTACATTGAATATAGCTATCCCGAAACCTCCGTGCATGTAAATCAGAGGTTTTTGAAGTAAGTGTTTTGATAAATTAAACAGATTTGACGAAAACTAATTCAATCCTTTACCCTTTTAGATAGGGTGAATAATTGTAATTCTATGA